GCAATAAAACAATGATAGCCAATTTATAAGCACCCTCCCAGGAATTAAACTTTAAAAAAGAAAGAAAGAAAATGAAAAGACATTTATACAAAATGCAGCCCCAGTCAGCAACTTCACCCAAGGCAAATCCAGGGGGCAATGAATGGGGCAATGTGAAATCCCTCCACCCGGGCCTCTCTGAAGTGGTAACAACAAAGCAATTGAATGAGGCTCTGGAAAAAATGAAATCAGAAATAATCTCTCAATAACTACAGAGATTACCAAAGTACACACCGTGCTTAGTGACATTAGAGCAGACACAGAAAAAAAATAGATGAGGTAAAGAAAATTACGGAAGCTTGGCACAGGAAAGAAATGGAACCCATAAAGCAGAGTCAAGCAGACATCCAGGAGAATAAAAACTCCACTGAAAGTATTCAAAGATTAGGCCAGTGTGAGGACAGGATCTCAGATATTGAAGACAGGCTTGCAGTTAGTGACCAAGAAAAGAAAGAGTTCTCAAAACTAGCAAGGGACCATGAGAAATCAATCCAGCAGCTGCTAGATGAGACAAAGAAGGATAACATAAGATTGATTGAAGTCAATGAACAAGCAGGAGATACCACAAATGACATTAAAATCATGTTCACAGATATCATGACAGAAAACTTTCCTGGTAGAGAAAAAGAATTTGACATACAGAAAAATGAAGCCTATAGATTTCCAGTTAGCAATGATTAAGAAAAATCTATAACCAGACGTATCATAGTCGATTCCAGAAATTCAGCACAAGAATAAAATCCTAAAAGCTGTTAGAGAAACAAAATTAATCACCTATAATGGAAAGCCTATCAGAATCACAGCTGACTTAGCACAAACTCTCAAGGAGATATTGAAGTATTACAAGTTCTAAAGGAAAACAACTTCCAACCCAGACTGATGTACTCTGCAAAACTATCTTTCAAAATTGATAGAGAAATAAAATACTTCTATGACAAACAACATCTGAGGAAATTTATGACCACCAAACCAGTGCTCTAAAATGTCCTGAAGGACACTCCAGAAAGAAGTAATAAGGACTACAGCTCCGTGAACCCCAACAGAAGGAACCCACCAGGAAAGGCAAACAATTAGGGGGAGCAGGAAAAAGAGGAAGTCAACAGCAAGAAAACAACACGACAAGGATAAGTCAATACATGTCAGCTAAAACCATCAGTGTTAATGGTCCCAATTCACCAATCAAAAGACACAGACTGGCAGAAAAGATCAAGAAGCAAGATCCAACAATATGCTGCATACAAGAAACACATGTAACCCAGAAAGAAATTCATAGACTGAAAGTCAAAGGATAGAAAACAATATGCCATGCAACAGGAACCTAGAAAAAAGCAATGGTAACTATTCTATTTCCAGAAAGTGAATTTCAAGCCAATACTAACCAAGAGAGATAAAGAAGGTCACTGTATCCTGATAAAAGATAATACCCAAGAAGAAGAGATAATAATCATAAATATATATGCAACAAATACCAGTGCATCCAACTATATAAAACAATTGCTAATGGACATGAAAAATCAAAAAAGCCCTAATACAATTGTATTGGGAGACCTCAATACCCCACTGCCACAAAGAGACAGATTAACTAGACAGAAAATCCATAAGGAAATACTAGAACTAAATAAAACTTTTGAAAAAATGGACTTAAAAGATGTCTATATAGTGTTCCACCGCACAACATCAGAATACACATTCTTCTCATTTGCACATGGGACATTCTCCAAAATAGACCACATACTGGCTCCTAGAACATGCTTGAGTAAATGCAAAGGAATTGAAGTTACCCCAGGCATACTATCAGACCACAGCGCGGTAAAACTGGAAATCCACGCTAAAGGAAACCACAAGACCTTCATAAGCACAAGGAAATTAAATAGCACCTGACTGAACAACCAATGGGTCACAGGTGAAATTAGAGAAAAAATTAGACAGTTTTTACAGTTGAATGGTAACACAACATACTGGAACTTGTAGGACACAGTGAGAGCGTCTTTAGAGGGAAATTTATAGCAGTAAACACCCTTACCAGGAAAATACAGCAAGTGCATACAAACAACTTAACGGTGAACCTCAAACTTCCAGAAAAAGAAGAGCAAGCTAAGCCAGAAGCTTGTATGAGGGAGGAAATTATAAAAATCAGAGTAGAAATTAATGCAAAAAAAACCAAAGAATCAATGAATTGAAGAGTGGGTTGTTTGAAAGATTAAACAAAACTGACAGACTCTTAGCCAACCTTATCAAAAAAGGAAATAAAAGATTCAAATCCATGCATTTGGGAATGAAAAGGGTGAAATCACAACAGATCCTGCAGAAATCCAGAAGAACATCTAGACCTATTTTGAAAACTTGCATTCTGTTAAGGTGGAAAATACAGAATAAATGGCTAAATTCCTACATACCTGTGAATTACCAAAGATGAATCAAGAAGATATAAAAATCCTAAATAATCCAACATCAACAAATGAAATTAAAGATGTAATTAAAAACCTATTAACAAAGAAAAGCCGAGACCCTGATGGATTCATACTGAATTCTACAAGAAATTTACAGGAGACTTACACTACTTCTGAAACTCTTTAATGAAATTGAAAGGGAAGTAATACCCCCAAATTCATTCCTGGAAGAAAGCATTACCCTGATACCAAAACCAGAGAAGGACCAACTAGGAAAGAGAATTACAGGTCAGTCTCCCTAATGAATGTTGATGTGAAAATCCTCAATAAGATACTGGCAAACAGAATGCAGCAAATCATCAAGATTATACACCATGGTCAAGTGGGATTCATCCCAGGGATGCAGGGATGGTTCAACATATAAAATCCATAAATGTAATACATCATATTAGTCTGCACCAAGGACTTCGGATTCTTCCACGGAGTCAAGATGGCTGTGAAAGGCAAACATTAGTTTTGCAAGTGGGAAATGAGTAATTGAAGTATAAGAAATCAGACTGCCCCTTGGTACTGTGCTACGAGGGCTCTAGGGACAGACCGGAACCTAGAGTTCACACAAGGTCTGATCAAAATGCGATGCTCCTGCCTCAGCCTCCTGAGTGCTAGGATTACAGGGGTACACTACCACACCAGTCAGGGACCTGGCCAAGATCCCCAACTGCCTGCATGAGGGGTACAGCAAAAGGATGAAATATCAAGCAGACAAATTTAGTAATGCATGAAGTGGGGCTGGGAAGTCCATGCTTCAGACAGGCAGAGACCAAGACTTCCAAGCCAGCTGTGGTGGCCGAGTCAAAATCCATCCCGCACCTCAGTGCTAATCTCACTGATGGATAAGAAGGTGATTTCTGCTATTCTTTTTGTCTTTTTGAGACAGGGTCTTACTGTGCAGTTCAGGCTGGCCTTGAACTCACTCTGTAGCCCAGGCTGGTCTCCAACTTGCAGCGATCCTCCTGCCTCAGCCTCCCAGTGCTGGGATCACAGACATGCGCCACCACACCTGGTTTGATTCCCACATTCTGACACTGGCCCACAAGGCAGCTAGGGCAAGGAGAGCCCAGGACACATGCCAGTACTATGTCAGTTTATAATTTGTGATCACTGACACATACCTAGCCTAATAATTTTTAGGCAGAGTCTGTTTGGCTGTGTAGTCAGGCTGGTCTATGACTGCTTAGGTTGCCCAGCCTGCTCTTAAATTTGCCAGTCTCCTGCCTCAGCCTCCTGAATGTGGGGATTTACAGGAGTGTAACCCACATGCAGCTCATTTAACACATCTTTAAACTTATTTCATATTTTAAGACTTCAGAATTCTAGGTGTCTTGGTCTCCACTAGAAGGGAACTTTTCGTTCATCAAATCAACGTCCCTCTACAGAACAAATGAACAGTTTCTCGGGTGGTGGTGTGGCTCAGTGGTAGAGAGCTTGCCTAGCACGTGTGAGGCCTCAGGTGTGATCTTCCCACATTCTTTCTGCATTTGAGTGTTCTGACTGTCCCAGTGGTGCAGTCCTGGGGAGCCCCCGGACCTCACATCGGGAAGGTGATTTGATCACAGAGGCGCCATTCTGGTCCCTGCCTGCTCCTCCTCTCTCTGCTCTCTGACCTCCCCGTGAACGGCTCCCCCTGCCAACCATGTTGTTTCTCCCTGGGAACCCAGACCACAGGCTGACTCCTGAAACCCTGAGACGCAGCAAGCCTCTTCTTTAAACTGTGGGCACTGGGCTTTTTATCCCAGCAGCGAGAACGTGACTAAGGTACACCCAGTTCCGAGTCCAAGTCCGCCCCAGTCCAGACCCAGCCTGCGAGGCTGAGGGAGGCCTGTGGCTCTGCAGAACTTCACGGTCCAGGCCAGGCGCCACCTTGTGCTCGTCATCCCTCTTCCTGTACATTTGCTGGAAAGTGTAAATTTAAAACTTGGATTGGAGCTGGATCGAAGATTATCGGCTACATCACGTCATCATTCCCAGAACAAACACGCAGAAGCCGACCGAGTGCTGTGCTGTGTTACTGACCCACCCGGTTCACACTGCACGCTTTTCTTTCCTATCGTTTTTCTTTTCTTTTGTGCTACTGGGTACTGAACCAACACCTTTGCACTGAGCTACATCTCTAGCTCTTTTTATTTATTTGTTTATTGCTTTCTTTTTACAGCCTATAATGATTGATACTTGGTGTCAACCTGAGAAGCCTAGAAGCTTAGCTAAGTAACTGTCTATAGGGAGCCATGCAACAGCCCCATTGCTGCCTCCCTGCCTCTCTCTCTCCTGTGGGCACAACGCGTCTGCCTACATTAACCATAATCCTCTCCTGCTTACGTCACATACCCGGATGTGACGATGACCCTGTTGTATTCATCCCCATGGCCTCTTCCTGTCCCACCAGCCTGCCCTTGGCCTATAAAAGATGTAATCAGTTCCGGAATAAAAGGGCTTGATTGGAATCTCTCGACTTGCCTCAGTCTCTCTCTCTGTCTCCCCCATGTTTTTATTTAATCCCTGTTCCCCCTCCAGGTACACCCCACGGATTGATCCGCGGGTCGGATCAAGTGGCGCCCAGCGTGGGGGCTCCTGGCACGGGAGAGTCAACGAGGGAGCCGTTCGAGAAAGCTGGCTAAAAGAGAAAGCAAATTGAACCAAAGATCGCGGCAAAAGGAAAAACAAACTAAATCAAGGATCAAAGCTAAAAGCAAAAGGACATTAAATTAAGGACCGAGGCCTGCACAGACAACTACCCGATGTCCCGCCCGAGTCACGGTGAGTGAATGGCAACCCCATTCCCTTTCCCGGACATGGGTCAAGCATTGAACAAACACAAATTGTTCGTGGGAGGCCTTATAAAGGCATTAAAGACAAGAGGGGTAAGGGTTAAAACAAAAGAATTATTGCAGTATTTTCAATTTATTCATAAGGTTTGCCCTTGGTTTCCCCTAGAGGGTTCTATAGATACCAAGAGGTGGAAAAGAGTAAGAGATGCTTTAAAAGATTATTATAGGGTTTTCGGTCTGGAAAAAGGTTCCGTTGACCACCTTTGCATATTGGAATTTAATGTCTGAGCTGCTTGCCCAGCGGCATGCAGATCCTCAGATTGAGGAGACGGTCGCACAAGCCCTCTGAGCTACACAGCCTTACAGTGCCCCAAGATGGCGCCTGCCTCGGCAGGCCTCATAACACTCTTAAAATGGCGCTTGCCTCACTTCCGCCACATCAGCGTGGGTCCCTCCCAAAACTGTGTTTCCGGTGACGGAAACAAACGTACCTCCCCAAGATGGCGCCGCACAGCCGCAAGATGGCGTGAGCACCACACTGCTAGCTTCATAAGTCATTAGGACACATACGCCATTCACAGTGGCAGCTTTAAAAGAATTAAAGACAGCGGTTGCCCAATATGGCCCTACAGCTGCTTTCATTCTTACTGTTTTAAATTCTCTGGCTGACGCTGGCTCACACCTACAGATTGGCAAAGATTGGCCCAGCCCGAGTGACTTTATTGGGTGGTGCTAATCTTTTGTAAAAATCAGAATATACAAAAAATTGCAAAGAGACCGCCAGGCACAATTCACAGGCTGGCAATGGGTGGGACCTTAATATTTTAATAGTGGAAGATGCCTATGCATGCAGAAAGGCTCAAAAAGAGTTTAATCCAACACTTTTTGCTCAAATTCAAACAGCAGCTACTTGAGCATGGAGAAAGCTGCCTACAAAAGATAATATGAGCTCCTCTCTCACTAGCATTAAGCAAGGCTCAGATAAACCCTTTTCAGAGTTTGTTGATTGTTTGATTGCTGCTGCTACCGGAGTCTTTGGCCGTGCTGATGCAGGCACTGATTTTGTTGAACAGCTGGCTTTTAAAGGTGCCGGCACCATCTGCCGGGCCGCTACCAGACCTCATAAAAATAGAACAGGCCTAACAGGATATATACACCTTTGCTGTGGCTGCTACCTTGCAGGAGTGTGCAGTTGGACAGTTCTTGTATCAAAAGCATGAACAGGACTGTTTTGCCTGTGGAGAGAAAAAGACTCCAAAGATAGAGATTCCAATGTCAATTACTTTGACTCATTTAACTGATCGGAGTGATATTGGTCTAGTCTCTTAAGTTTAATTTCAGCATATATAAGGATGGGGACAGCTACTGAGAGGAGAATGAGAGACACTATGGTAGTTATTATTGTCTTCCCCAGTGTCAGATCTTAAAAACCTGAGGAGCCTTCATCATCCTGTAATGATTTGATTGGTTCTATAATATGCAGCGTGTATTTAATGTGTGTGAAGATGGAAACAACTGTTTGGAGGAAACTAGAGACAATTAGATAAACAATGAAGATCTCCAGTAGACTTGCTTTGAAATCTGTATTTCTTTAAATCTTTTTTTTTAAAACTGTTTTGTTCTGTTTTGATATGTTTGGTCTTGCCCTCTTTGAGATAAAAAACAAGTGTGTAGGACTGATAACCACATTACTGAGTTTTTATTGGATCATTGAGCAAAACTATTGGCAGTGTCACTGTTTAAATGTCATTTTGCATGCTTTAATTTTGTAGCCTGAACAGCTATTTCTGGGATGACAGTGTATAACTTATTAACTGTTGATTTCTTACCATTTATTTTTCTGTAATGCTGTATTAAGATCACTATAAGACAGATAGTAAAAAATTGCCTTTCTTGTGCCATGCACCTCCCAGTTCCACACTTTGGGGTTAATCCTAGAGGACTTATTCCCAATGCATTATGGCAAATGGATGTCACCCACATTCCTGAGTTTGACAATCTTAAAAATGTTCATGTAACTATAGATACCTTTAGTGATTTCATTTATACCTCTCCCCAGACTGGCAAAGCTACCAAATGTTATTAGCCATATGTTAACTACCTTATCAGTTCTGAGATGCCCACAACAATTAAAGACTGATAATGGTCCAGGCTATGCTAGTTCTGCCTTTGCTCGTTTCTGTCAACATCTTAATATTGATCATATAAAAGGCATACCTTATAACCCTCAAGGTCAAGGCATAGTTAAAGGGCGCAACTCTCCCTAAAACTCACTGTTGATAAAATAGAAAGGGGGGAGTGGTGCTCCACAAGGGGGACACCTAAAGGTGTTCTATCGCATGCCTTATTCATCCTTAATTTTTTAAATTTGGATGCTTCTGGACAGTCAGCAGCCACGCGTTTTTGGCATTCTGAAACACAAAAGCAATTTGCTTCTGTACTATGGAGAGACCCCCTGATTAATTCATGGCATGGCCCTGACCCCGTTCTCATATGGAGACGCGGTTCAGTTTGTGTTTACTCTCAACAAGATAGAGAGGCTAGATGGCTACCTGAGCGCCTCATAAAACAAGTAGACAGTTCTTCAAAGACCCCATGCGACGCCCAGGAATAATGTCATTTCCTGAGGCACAATCCCCTGTGTTCTCTTACAGGTGACACAACTCCCCAGAGCCCTGTGCTGCCTACTCAGCCTCCTCCTTGAGCCATACCACACCCATGGTGGACTGAGATGCCTGCCAAACAGACTACAACTGCTGAAAGCCATGCATAGAACCCCCAGTGACTGCGGAAGAGGCTCTTCTCAGTCTGGAGGAACACAAACCAGCCAAATAGACTGCGTCTGGTGTTATGTGAGGCAAGCTCCAAGACATAGAAGAACGACTTCAACAGTGACAACAACAAATGGCTGCCAACCCCTTCTCCTCAATGTGTGTGTGGGGGGGAGCTTTTCCCTTACCTAGCGCCCCTTTTGTGTCCCCTAGCTGCCCTATTGCTTCTCCTTTCTGTGAGTCCTTGTATTTTTCAGAGGATTATGACGCTCATTAATAACCGGATAGATGCATTTATGGCAAGACCATTCAGGTACACTGTCATCAGCAGGAGATGGCAGATCAACAAACCTACCGGGAAGGAATTCCCACGAGTGGCCCATATGGCGATGCGGCCTAACTGCCCTGGGGCAATGGACAGGCAGCCAGAGACGGGCAGCTAGGACATACATGCCACACCACCAGCCGCCTAAGACAGGCACAGGACCAACTGCTGTCCCGCAAGCCCATGACGGGTAAGGCCTGGTTGGGTTCATGTAATGAAGTCCTTGACCTAAGACAGATGCTGTCCTCACAGGGCCTGCCATACTCCTGATTAAATAATATAGAAAGGGAGGAGATGTAGGGAGCCGCGCGACAGCCCCATTGCTGCCTCCCTGCCTCTCTCTCTCTCTCCTATGGGCACAATGCGTCTGCCTACATTAACCATAATCCTCTCCTGCTTACGTCACATACCCGGATGTGACGATGACCCTGTTGTATTCATCTTCGTAGCCTCTTCCTGTCCCACCAGCCCGCCCTTGGCCTATAAAAGATGTGATCACTTCCAGAATAAACGGGGCTTGATGGGAGTCTCTCGACTTGCCTCAGTCTCTCTCTCTGTCTCCCCCATGTGTTTATTTTAATCCCCGTTTCCCCTCCAGGTACACCCCACGGATTGATCCGCGGCTGGATCAACTGTCCTTCCCAGGGTGCACAGGACGTGGCCTCAGGCACTGGCATGTTGTTCTCTGCGTTAACTGGAGAGGCTTAGAAGTTTAACAAGTGATTCAGCAGGAGCCAGGGTCTACACTGTAAACATCCCCAGCCTGAGCAGGAGGGCAGGGAAATGGCTGAGGATTAGGGACCCCCGCCCCCTGCACGCAGCCTGCAGACAGTGAAAGGGAAATGAGGGGAAGGCAGCTGGCTCTCCGGAGGAGCTCCACGCTTCACCTTGAGTTTGGACGTGGGCTCCTGTCTCCCAGCGTAGACTGTTCAGCTTCTACCTGGACTCTCCAGCCCTCTGTCACAGGAGGCCGTTTGCCTCCTGATACAGCCTTGCAAGGAACACTGGCGTGAACTCCAGCCCTTGGGCTGGACCCTTCAGCCTCCAGCGGGCAGACGCCCTCTGCTTGCTCCCTCCTCTGACTCTGTCTGACCATTGTGAGCTCCTGTGTAGTGGAACCTTAGGCCCCCGCCATGGATTCCGCTGTCACGTGACATCCTTGAGTCTCTGTTCTAGGAAGTTGAAGACCTCTTCTTAACCACAATATATTACTAATGCCAGGCATGGGACACACTCAGGAGGCTGAGGCAGGAGGATCGCTGTGAGTTCCAGGCCAGCCCAAGCTACATGGTGAGACCCTGTCCCCCTCAAAAAAATTATATTACTAAAAAATAATTGTTTCTTGGGTCACCTGGTTTGCAGTCCATTTTCGTAGTTCTCCAGTTGTTTTTTCCCTGAATATAAGACCCAACCAGAAAATAATTGGCCTTGAAAACTAGAGATAAAAAACACCAGCCTTAGGCTGGGATGTAGCTCAGCAGTACAGCGCCTGCCTGCAAGCACGAGGCCTTGAGTTCGATTCCTGGTAACTCCCTGCTCCCCCAAGGCCACCCCCAATTAACCTGGACTTGCCTTACCTGCCTAACAGTAGCCACCAAGCAAGAGAACAGGGATGGCTGGTGAGGCACGGTGGTGGGGCAGGCATTTGTATCTCTGCTTTTCAGAGCTGGTTATTTTCTGGTTCGGTCTTTTTTTTTTTTTACACTTTTTTTTTCTTTTTTCTTTTTATCGGTACCGGGGATCGAACTCACGACTGCTGCCTGCTTGCAAGGCAGGCACTTATGCCGCTGAGCTAAATCCCCAGCCCCAATTCTGGTTCAGTCTTATTTTCTTTCTTCTTCTTCCTCTTCCTCTTCTTTAGTCAGAGTCTCACTATGCAGTTCAGGTGGCCTTGACCCCTCAGAGATCCTCCTGCCTCAGCCTCCCGATCGCTGGGATGACAGGCACATAATCCCACACTTGTTTAGGTCTTACTTTCAGGGAGACCCGGCCTTAGGTGGGAACTTGGGTAAATCTAAGCAGAGGCTGACCATATGCAGGTGACGACCCGCGTCACAGTTAGTCTTGGATGATGGGCTGGTGGCACGGGTGTGGTCTTGTAATGAGGATGAACTCTGTGGCCCTAGTCCGCCCCTTTCCACAGCTGCCCTTGGGAAGTTGGCCATCTGTCTGCCCGGCGCTTGGCAGGAAGCCTGCGGTTTCTGGTTTCTGGGAGCCCCACCCCCAGCTCCCCAGTCTCCCTGGTGAGTCTGTCCTGGGGCTGTTTCCTGGGACTGGGGATTCTTGTCTCAGAAGACCTGGAAGGCGCAGCCCTCATGGCTTCTCCGTAGCCCTTTATCCGCCTGGGAGCCTGGAATAGCGGCTGCTGCCTGGTGCCTCCAAACGGCCGCGGGCTGCACCCCAAGGAGCCTCCCCACTGCTCGGGTCCCTCCAGACGTCCGTGGGCGTCTCGGTGTATTTCTGCACGGCACTTCAGACACTTTGTGATTTTCCTGCTGTCCAGGTCTGTTCGTGCATTCATCCCATGCTCGGAATTTACAATAATCATTTGTAAAAGGCACTTGTGTAACCTTTATGTAACATTCTGTTTGTTTCTCATAGTTTTTTTAGTCCTGGGGATTGCACCCAGGCCTTCACTTGGAGTTAAATTCCCAGCCCTTTTTCATTTTGTATGTTGAGACGGGGTCTCACCATGTTGCTAATTTCCCAGGCTGGGCTTGAGCTCGGGATCCTCCCGCCTCAGCCTCCCAGAGCACTGGGCACCCAGACATGCAGCAGCCATAGGGCCACTTCTAATGCTTTTAAGTTCTTTTATGCCCTTTTTTCGGTACTGAGGGTTGAACCCAGGCCTTCGTACTGAGCGACATCCCCGGCCACGCTTTGTGGCTTTATTTTCATCCGCCGGTGTTCGCAGTCCACGCTGACCCTCGTGGGCAGGCGGCGCGTGGGAACCCCTCTTCCTCCCCCACCCCTCCCGTCCTCCCACGCCCCATCTTCGCTGCCCTTTCGGTTTGCAGAAGATTCATCTCCCGGCCTCTGCGTATGGATCTTTCATTTTGCTGTTTAACTTATTTATAGTTGGGGTTCGCAGGGGGGAGACCACGTGACACGCAAGCTCGTGCCTCTGATCTATTTTATTTGACGTTAATGGCCTCAAGGTGCGCGTATTTCCTGAAAGTGAGCCTGGCCTGGTCTTCTTTCTGGCTGTCTAGTGTCCCCTCTGTTGTGCGTATAAACCACAGTGCCTTCGTCTTCCTCTGTCATCTGTGGATGGGTGCACGGCGCTGCTGTAGACACGGACGTGTAAGGATTACAGCCGGAGCCGATCGAATTTCTTTTAATTTTTGACGAATCTCCACAGCAGTTTCCATAGTGGCTGTACAAGCTTACATTCCCACCAACAGTGTGGGGAGGTTCCTTTCCCCCCCACAATCTCTCCAGCGTTTGTTTCTTTTTCTTTCTGAGACAAGGTCTCACTGTGCAGTTCAGGCTGGCCTTGAGCTCACCTTGTAGTCCAGGCTGAGTTTGAACTCACAGTGATCCTCCTGCCTCTGCCTCCCAAGTGCTGGGATTACAAGATGCGGTGCCACACCAGGCAACAGCATCTGTTTTTGATTTTTGAGTTGTTCTGGAGTTTTGGTGTTGTTCTTATGTGGTTTTTTGAGACAGGGTCTCACTGTGTGGCCCAGGCTGGTCTTGAACTTATGCAAACCTTCTGCCTCAGCCTCCTGAGTGCTGGGATTTGAAAGGTTCTTGCCATAAAATAAGTTACTGTATGGTAATTTACTTTAGGATAATTTACATAAAATAATTACTGTATGGTGGAAGGCCAAAGCAGGACCACCTATAACTTCCTGCTTCTTGCTCAGCCTTAACTGAAACCCCCCTTCCTGTTGGTGCACCAAGAAAACTCCAATCAGCTCCTCAGGTGTCATCAATGCCTGCCCTAAGCGCCACCCCCATCAGAGGTTACACATGTCCCATACCCCACGCTCCAGTCAGAGGGACCCAGGCTGTCCATGGCCATAGACTCCTCTCCACGTCCTTGGAATAAAGACTATTTTTTACTTTATTTCCTGTCTTTTATCACACCAAAAACTCTTTCATAATGGTGCCCTGACTCAGATGGCAGTGTTTAGCTCCTGGGAATGCTCCCAGTTGGAGCCGCCTGCTTATGAACCACCTTTTTCTTCCTCCGGGACTGTTTACTTGCTGCCGCTGATCCGGGTGCAGCAGCGAGCGACCTTCCTCACTCATCACAGGTGAGCTGCTGTCCGGGTTTTCTGTTTCTGTTCCTAGTGAGCTTCCATCAGAAAACCCGTCCTGCCATCCCCGAACAAGGACACCAGTTTTCATGCTCCTTAGGCCACATGGCTTGAGGCAAAACTGACATTTTTGTTTCTTGGGACCCCAGTCTTAGGTGACCTGGCCGAGGAGAATGAGTGTTGGCACCGTCCGTGTCACACTCTCAAAACAGGTGACAACTTTTTGATACGTGTGGTCCAGGACAGCTTCCCTGTTCCTTGGGGCGGCGGGAGCTAAAGCTCTTACGTCCCGAGGTGAATTGTTCTCTCAGCTCACTTATAATTTGGTCACGGGGATCACTTCCTGTCCCCGGAAAAACACCTCTGGGGTGCCTGGTTTAAACCTTGGCACAACTCTTGGCCTCTAGAAGGCTATAAAACCAAGCTGATCTTTTATTTATGCCTTTGCACAGTGGTGGCAAGTTGGCAGAAACCCCTCATCTGTAGGCCTTGCTCACTTTGAGGACGTGTCCTTCTGTCACTCCGTCCCCTGTGATGGCCCAAACACTTCCGGCTCGCTCTTCTCCTCCAGGACCCCTCCCTGCCCACCGGACACCTTAGATGCTGCTGCTCCTGCCCTGCATCTCTTATACCAAACCCCACGGCCTTCTCTGCCAAAGGTTTCTGTGCCCCCTGCACCGTCCTCTCCCCGCCACCACAGCAGCCTCTAATCCTTCCCTTGCTTTCTCTCCCCAGTCTCCAGCTTCTCAATCCCCTGCACCCGAGCTGTATGTCCTGTCAGAGGGTTCTTGGTCCCCTTCCCCTGCGTCACCATTTTCTCCACTGGCTCACCATAGGCCGTCTCGGGCATTCCAGCCTTCTGGCAGGCCACATGATCGTCAGCAGCCATCTCACTGCAGCTTTGTGGAGGACAGCTGCCATCTTGCGGCCCTCCACCATGTGACAAAGCACCGCCATCTTGAGATGGCTCTCAGGGACAATGGCCGCCCCCTTGTGGCCCCTAGTATGACCAGCAGCGGCCATCCTGCTGTGGGTCACATGGTAACCCACCAACAGCCTGTGTTTCCTTGTCACATGGTGACGAGCAGCCATTTTATAGCCAGTCATCGGGTGATTGCCCACACGCTCAGTGGCCATCTACTCCCCAGTCTCTAATCCTGCTTCGGGAACAGGCTGGCCCAAGGGATTAGTTAGTTTTCATGTTCCTTTTTTCCTCTCTGACCTATCTCAGATTAGCCATAAATTAGGTTCCTTTTCTGGTATTCTTATTTCAAGAGATCTCAATT